CACATTTTAACACCTTCGCTAGTAAAATTATTCAATACTTTCGTATGGATTTTAAAAGATTTTGTTGGAACAAAAAATAGTAAGAAAATGTTTATACCATTTAACTGTAAAGATAACCTGTAGACGTTCGCACATTATTACGATCATAGGTACTTTTAAATGAAAAATGCTACCTTGGATAGCGAAATGATCTAGGTTTCCTGAACGAAAGTATTCTTCGAAGCCCAGATTAAAATTATCACAATATTATCACAAAAACAACACGAATGTTAAAGCCGACAGCATATTATTGTTTTAAAATAACACCCATTACAGCTAAAGATATTATGCTGTGTAGCTCTACGTAAGCTGCTACCGTGTTAAGTTTGATGTGTCCATTTCTGATTCATACTACGAGTATTTATTATTAGACGATACATGTAAGATCTGCCAAAGACGTCTCTTGCTCTGTTTATAATGGGAAATAATACCCCCATACAAGTCTTATGAATAAATGTTCGAATAAAAATAATTTAATTTGATGTATCAACTGAGAACCATTTGTCCGCTGATAGATAAGATCTACCATAGACGTCTCTTGCTCTATTTATAATGGGAAATAATATTCCCAAACAAGTCTTGGATATAAATGTCCGATTGGAAAATAATTTAATTTTATGTATCAACTGAGAACCATTTGTCCGCTTGTGACAACAAGATCCTATTACTGTCAGCATCCGACTCATCTGAAGATGCGATTATTCAGATGATGGCAGATTGCATTTCGCGCTAGGGCTGTCACACTACTGAGTAGATATGGGATAATTATGCCACGAGCCTACGAGTAATTGGGTCTGTAAGTAGATAACCAATTTTTATTCTTGTGATAAGAGTGTATATTTTATGTAATACATAGTAATAAATAATAACTATGGAGGGCAGACAACACAATAAAGACGTACATTAGGGTGTCCCTTATTTTTCAAAGTTTTAAATTTGTAACGCATAGGTCTTAGTTTTGTTTGTTTGCCTCTAAAGCACTCGGAAATAAATTTTTACCTTATTTGGAGTACGATAACCCGTGCCGACTTGCATCGAAACATGATGCGCGGCAGTAGCGGTGCGTATTCGCGGTATTTGTCATTTGTTCTCTATTATTCTCGTGTTAAACACCTATTGTTTGACATTTAGAAGATGGCTGTGGAATTAAGAAGCAATAAAAAAGTATTTTCTTAGTCGGGGACGTAAATTTATCAAATAATAGGCACAAATTTACCGTTAATCGTCAAGTTTTGCAGTAGTTTTTAACATATTTTGCGAAGTTAATTAAATGTTATTGAAACCTCTAATCTCATCATTTGGGAGTGTATTATATTTTGGGAAAAGCTATAAATCCTACCAGAGCCTAACTGTGTAAAAAAAACTTGTGTATCTTCACCATGCTTGGAGGGAGTTGCAAGAAAAATTATTAAAAAAATCAAGATTTATAAGCGCCGCGGTGAGGAGGATTTAAAAACAAATAAAATATTTTAACAAAAACAAATATAACCAAGGCGTCCAGAGTGTTAAGGTGTAGACAAAAAGTTAGTTAAGAAAGTAGAAAGTGCAAGACAAAGAAAATTAAATAAATAAATAAATAAAAAATAGAGCAAATATGTTGGTTTATCGAAGGTTTATCGTCATCTCTTAACGCAAGGACATCACGACCAGCTTACCAGCTCTGAGGAAAGCCTTAAGGAACTCTTGACATCCACTTTCCAAAAGGTATATGAGAGTGTTGACAAATTGATTTCCAAAGCAGCCCTGAGTAAGGTTAGTCAACTTCTTTGGTACTTCATATCAAAAGAAATTGCCGTTTTATCACTCTTTGATGATGAAGGTCATGAACAAACACCGTCAATATTGTAGTAAAAGTACAAAGAGAGAGTATGTATGATTCTGGGAAGAGATACATTCCATCTGAAGAAGGTATGATTATTTCTATGGTAAATAGGACTTTGTACTAATTTTTTATCCTGTTTTTAATGAATTGATAATAATACTGCCTTATTTATTGTTGCTGGAAAACCATTGAGTGGTTTTGTGTCTGTCAAGAGTATAAATTTATTTTCTCGATTGAAAATTGATAATAATTTCCCCCTGAGACACATTTCTATATGAGATAAAGATGTTGCCTATTTAAAGGCAAAAAAGTGCTTCTTTAAGGGTAGTTAATGATACAGCTGAAAGAGCTATAAAGCTTATGCAAGATTTTCATGGTTTGATCACTGCAAAGGAAGAGCAAAAGCTTTTTTTGCTATGCACAGTGTAGCAAAAATCAGGCCAATATTCAGGACCATGGAAATCTGTATCCAGAATGTAAAAAAGGGTCCCTCAAAAGTAAAATATATTGTCTGATCTGTAATGTTATCTTCTTTTTATAAATATTTTATAAAAAATAAATATTTTAATTGATTTAGCTACATATCGAAAGGGGTTAAAACCAGCATTTTTCAAAATCTTCAGAGCTAAGTCGGCACGAGTTAATGTGGACGTAGGAAGATGAAATTTTGTATTTAAGTATGTCTGAGTAGTACGAAAAGAAATAGAGGGTATGCATTTCAATATCTAAAAAAATTTTTTTTTCGGCCATATAAGGGACACCCTAACGTACATACAATAATATTATGTCCTCTAGCTAGGTTGTCTGGACTGCCTAAATTGTGACGTCCTTTTCTTGTCTTGGTATACAATAAAGTGAGTTATATCTACGAGTATGTCTCTATTTTCAGCAGTGGACGTCCGTTTTCTAAATGCTAGAATAGACCAATCGTGAGAAATATTTTATACCTATCTCTTTTTGGAACGGGCAATCCGACAGAGCTCAAAGTATTTTTATACGTTTTTAATTAAGAGGCTGGCCGAGGTGACCGGTGATCAAAAGGCTGGCAGCTATTTTGGTCAGAGAATTAGCCTGGCCATTCAACGTGGCAATGCTGCTAGCCTTTTGGGCACCATTCCTGACTGCGGCGCCGGGGATGAAGTATTTTTTATTTTGTAAATAGTTTTTATCATTACTAATTTTTAAATTTTAGTTTTTAAGTCATTTTAAGTTAATGTATTATTATAAAATTATAAATTGACAACCCTAGTTACTCCCTGAAGAGTTGAGAACACTGACACAGATCGCGGTAGCATTATACATTTATCCGATCATAAAACGATCTATCACTCCTTTGCGAAGTCATGAATCTTGAATCAATTTCTGTTTAAAATCATCCTGTATTCAATTAATGTTTGGATGAAATCTATTTAATTAATGAAACGTTAGTATGACTTGCGGAGGAAAAAAATTAAACTTATTTATTGTACGTTGTAAATAGGTACTTGAGCTCTAAGATCAGCACTTTAGTGACTTATTTTTTATTTATGCGACCATTTGGGATAACACATATACCCACTTTTCCTTAATTTCAACAAGTATGTAATCTACAGGTACGTTTAATATCACATTTTCCTCTATGCCATCAATATGCCACGCTAAACAATAATAAATATAGCTTTAGGTAACCTTCAAAACTTACGTGCTTAATAAAAATATTTGTTATCGATCTTAATCATTGCCTTTAGGCAACACAAAAATGTCAATCAGAAATTTGATACGTCGAGATAAAAATTGTGAATAAATAATTACTTGTCACAAATGAATCTTCTTTGGCGGCGCCGCAGAATGGCGGATCATGATTGTGAAGATAGAATTAAAAGGTTGAATGAAACGGTAAGGGCGCTTTCATATGGAAGCTTAGGGCGGAGCGTGAAGACGAGCTTTCAGCGGACACAAACTCGTAAGTACACGACTATTTGATAGTCATGTTCGTAGATATGTTTTTTCAGCACGTTGAGTTTGTTTTCAAATGTAAGTATCTTTCAATTTTTATTATGTAACTAATAGTAATTTAATTACGCTGGTTCCGCCACGCAGTACGTAGTAGCCGCCGAAATGAGCTTGATAGGGACTTTTCGAATGGAGACTGAACTTTTGAATGAACTTGTACATCTTTCAAGAAATTGAATGCGTATTAGAAAGCTCTCGAAAAAGTGGAATTTGTTCTGCTTTTGGCATTGTGAGGATTCGAAAAATAACTTCCTTCGTATTTATCCTTGTAATACCAAATAATATGTACTTCGTTCTTTCTTCGTATCGCCTAGATATTCGCTCTAAGCTTCTTTGCGTGAACATAGCTTTATTCGATAAGAGTTTATTGTAAGCCCTGTTGACAATGACGTCTCCATTTGAGGCACAATACGGCGATTAACGCGATACTAATGATGCGTGAAGACTCGCTGTAGACTTGTGGGTCGGAGCTTTTGGGTTTGGATCTCGCTAGTTTGTTTTACTAAAGTACCTACTTGCTTTGTTTGTTAAAATCGAAGAAAAGGAAGAAATAATCTTGATTGCAAATTACTATATAGCAAGTCTTGTTCGCAAATTTTATCAAGAGTGAGTTAATACAGTTGCTATAATTGTCATTGTAAACAAGGTTCAAAATTGGATTTTCTTTCGTTAGAATCGAACTGGAAAAGGACGACCGTTTCTAATTAATCCGGAGTATATGAAGGATATTCCTTATCTACTACATATTTATTTTTCACGATTATTTGATAAACAGTGAATGGACTAGCAAATCGCCATAACTATCTCACGTTTAACATTCAAAAAGGAGATCCACGAAAAACTTTTTCAGCACCCCAAAAAGTGAAACGAAAGTCCAAAAAGGTGGGTGACCTGTTATCAACCTATCACGCCAATTAGAATGATCCATCGCATAACACCGTCAAAGCGCGTGTAATCTTCGCCTTACGAGCCCATTCATCATCGCGCAAGCTCAATCGGCTAAATTCGGTATGTATGTAGGCAGACTTTCTCCCGGTGAAACGGTGTGGGGAGACGCGACCTTGTTGAGGGAGGCTGGCACCTGCGCACCGCCACTTGTCACTCCGACGGCGCGCGCGCACCGTGTCTTTGAACGCTCGTGAACATTTGACAACTGTGATTGTGTGAACTGTGACTGTGCGGACGTTGCGGTGCCGGCTTTTGTTTTTATCGTTCGGTGATCAGTTGGTGAGTGATTGGATTAATTAATTATAATTAAGTTTTTTTAAGGATTTAAGGTAACTGTTTAAGTATTAGGACCAGAAACTCGTGTCTTCTTCATAAACTAAATTATTATTACTTTTTATTTTTATTACACAAAAAAAAAACTATCCTAAGGGATAAGATATTTAAGGCTAATCCAAATGGGTAAAAAAGTCATCAATTCAATTTTGTCTAAAGAGCAATTCTTAATAAATAATTTGATAAATTATTAATCAAACTAATGAAAGATATGATAAGAGAAATAACGCAAGGACTTCGCAAATTACCGAATCATTGTTTACAAAACAGTGCCTCAAAACGTACATTACACGACCACACTACACAAAATTTCACTTTCTCATTTCGAAAAACGATACATCATCAACATAAAATGTGTGTCAGGAATCGTACACAGCCTCAGCGCGCAAGTGGGTCACGAATATGCGCACGCTCCCCTAGCAGCATGTGCGTCTTATCCAGTTGTGATAAGCGTTGTTTTGCAACAATCTAGTCTGCTGGGCTGACGACTGTACCCATGCGTCAGGCTTGACAGGTGTTTATGAAAAATACGCTCTTTTTAGAGTTCCGCAATTAGATTTTGCACTTCGTAGTCCAGTATCACGCAAAGAAAAAAAACTTTTAAATTTTTCTTTGCGCGTTACTATGGAAAAGCTCGACAGTTTGATAATGAAAAGTTTAGATGATTTATTAAATTACACTAATTTAATCATTCAAAGAGTATGTTCTGGAAATATTGTCATTGTGTAAGTTTTAATAAAAGTTTTTAATATCTTCTGTTTACTGTAATGTTATCATAGCGACTTAGTATACCAAGTAAAATATATCATTTAAGGATAAAATAGTCCGTCGATGATCTAACACCTACCTTGAATAAAAACCTTATTTTAAAAGTGTGATCTTATAGAGATACTAACCTATCTGTAAGTTCCTGAAAAAGTTTTGTCTAATCTAAACAATAGCTACAAAAGCTTGAAGTAAAATGATTGTACGGAACACCAGCTGCGCGGGAGCACCTCACGCCCGGTCACTTTTTACTATCATAACATTGAGCGGTCGTTTTTTAAATCGCCATGCCAATAACATGCCGCTAATTCCACGCGGCCATTGACTTTCACTTTGTATTTAGATGATAAGCCTATAGTAGAGACGAGTTAATTATAAAGATATAAAAGTTATTAACCACCTTTTAAGGCACACTAAAGTTTCTCTCGTAAGGAAAAATCATTCAAAATTAAGTAGGTTAATCATTGGAATTCTTTTCAATTGTTACTAAAGCTTTGTTAGTTAAAAGTTAAATAAACATTTACTTTATGCTTATAATTACGAAGATACAAACTTAACTTTCTTTACCTTATGGTATTAACTTACTGAAATAATCACTGATATCTAAAAAGCTCTTGAAGTTAAACAGACAAACTCACTGGCCAAAAACCTTGCTTATTTCTTATCACGCTTAACAGCAAAATTGTACCAAAAGCGCGTCAAGTTTAACCAAAAGTTTAAACTTTATTATACCGAAATGTCAAGCTTAATATGCACTCTGTACAATGCCAAGTTTACGATGCGCACGCGCCGTTCGCGCCCATTGCGTCAACGAGCCATTGATCGGTCATTCTCCGGATCTGGATTATTTTGTTGATTACCCCGACCTTTTTTATTTTTTAATTTAGAGTAAGTTTAGGTAAAACATTTCAAAATAGACATTATTACGAGCATATTTTTTATATTGGCCCATATGTAGCAAGCAGGAATAAAAAGTTATGCGACATCAAAATTTTCATGGTCGGGGTAATCAAAGTTGGGGGTCAGAGTAATCAAAAATAAAACAAAATATTTTATTTTCTAAGGTTTTTTTAAAGTTATGGTAAAATAAATGTTATTATAACTAGCCATTTATTATTTTGATGTATAAACGACAATATTGTAAAGTTTCAATAAAATCTGTTAAGTAGTTGTTGCGTAAAAGAGTAAAAAACATACATTTATACATTATACATATAATATTAGTGACTCAATGTCCTATGTCTCCTATATGGGACAGAAGGCGTCCACAACAGTCCTCCATCGCATTCGGTCTTGAGCTTCGTGTTTGATCTCGCTCCAAGTCTTAACAGTGCGCCGCTATGTTTTTTTGGCGCGACCACGTTTGCATTTTCCCTGGGGGTTCCAATCTAGAGCCTGCTTGGGGATGTGATCGGGGTCCCTTCGGAGAGTGTGGCCGATCCAGTTCCACTTGCAGCGTTTATTCTGCTGAAAGATCGGTATTTCGTGGCAGCGTTCCAAAAGTTCGTCGTTTGAAGATTTTGGAGAATTCGGCGAAGACAGCGGCTGAAGAAGATCTGCAGCTGGTGCGAGATAACCTTAGTGACCTTCCACGTTTCACGCCCATAGAGCAGAACTGGTTTGACGTTGGACCCGAATATTTTGATCTTGCTTGGGTCAATTTCCGTGACTGCCATACGGCTCGAAGTTGTGCGAAGGTAGCTCTGGCCTTGGCAATGCGCGAAGTGATGTCCTCTTCGGTACCTCCAGGCTCTGAAACGATGCTCCCGAGGTAAGTGAAATTGTGGACTCGTTGGACATCCTCTGCACCAACGGTGTGCAATTCCTCACTCCAGATCGCATCTCTTGGGTCTTCCGGTACTGATACCCTTGCTTTACCCTTTTTTCGGCACAATAATTAGAAGCCCCTTATGCCAGTCGTCTGGGAGTTCCTCTTCCATCCAGATGTTTTCGAAGACAGGTGTCAGGACGTTAACGGCGGAGTTTACATCGGCTTACAGCATTTCAGCGGTGATAAGGTCGAGTCCAGGGGTCTTGCCAATTTTGAGGGATAATATTATGTATTAATAGGAGATAGGATTTCATTTTAGTAAAGGGTAATTTTGCTTATTAAACGTTATTTAGTTAATCATTCATTAGTAAAATTACAGTATTATTGATTACTCGGTGACAAAAGTCGGGGTAATCAAGGTCGGGGTAGTCAAAAAATTAAGGTTTATCCTGAGCCCTGCCCAATCTGTAAGTTGAATCCCATATGTTTTAATACACAAAAATGCGGTTACATGGACCATTATTCCTGTACATTCTCAAGAACTTTCCATGTAAAGAAACCTAAAAAAACAGGATAGAGTAAATCAATCGTGCACTGAACCAAGGTCGGGGTAATCATATTCTTATCTCGATAACTCCGAAATCCTGCGACGAGTTGCATTACCGATCACCTCGGCACGCAGGCCACCACTAAAGGTTCACGGGGGAGGATAGAGCTCGTTTCTAAATTGCGTAGCTAGGGACGTAGGCGCACATTAGTGACGTGTCGGGGTAATCACGGTTAACGCCCGGACACAACTTCAAATAGTTATTTTACAAAACCTTTTAGTCATATAGTTATATCGTATTTAATTTATCAATGTTTATTTAATCAGTAATCGATTACATAAGCATTGAAAGCGGTAATGATAACGGATTAATTTATACGAGCAAATTTGTTCTGAAATCGGGAGCACGGACACATCGTGGTAATCAATTTTTGACGACTTACGATATTTTTTAAATTACTTAATTAACTATTATTAACTATCTCTGTGGTTTAACAACAAGAAGCAAAGTTATACTATTAGATAAAAATATTTGTTACTAAAATATTATGATATTCGGGTACTTTTTGGCCCCGGACACGTGTTTTTCTTGGCCGGTGGAATGACCCTGATACGCGCCCTGACGTTGACATTCGTGCTTTTGACCTTAACTTTGTGACCTGCGTACAATCAGCAAAGGATTGTAGACATTTATGTTACTTTTTGAACCCTATATTATGCTCGTTGATTATTGGTATTTTGTGAATTATAGCCACGATAGCCGAACGGTGACGGAGTCGGAGTGGCCGACTCGAGATCCGAGGAACGCAGGTTCGAATCCCAACGCCGCTCGACTATTGTGGTGAGCCCACTCGTAACACAAGCTTATTTAGCTTAACGCGAGGGGCTAATGGGACTATTAGTAATTTGGGCAATACAAATTGCTAATAATCTTTTTAAAGAAAAAAAAGAAAGGAAACATTCAGGGACAGTGTTCTTTTGTTACACAAGTGAATTTGTAAAGTATTTTTTGCGCTTACATTATAAAAATAATCTAGTTAAATATTGTTATCAAGCTACGAGTTCAAAGTTTGTGAACTGCCCTTGTTAGTGTTGTTGCGTACATTGCTCTATAGTCGTTAAAACTTTCGCGTCCTTTTTGGGCGGGCGGATATACAGGGTAGCAATGATAAGTGATCTCACTCGATTCTTTCTAAACTATACATGATATCGAAAAACTGATTACTGATCCTGAAAGTGCTTCACAAGATCTATCCAACTTACCAATAAATAAATAAACAAATAACTAAATAAATTTGATCTATCCGAAAATTCGATGTTTCCAGCTTTACAGCTTGGGGATTGATGGGATATATCCGTAATGTCATGATTAGTTTAGTACAAAGTACCTTTTGTTGTAACAATCGAAAGGTTACACGTTAATCTAACCATTTCAATTCCAATTACACGGTCAATCTATCAATATTAAACGCCATTACGATTAATTTTACGGCATTTAGTCATCTTTATCGGTATTAAATGAGGGTATGTATTAAATTACTTAAGTTTGAAACGGATGTAATAGTAGGGAGACCGGGGCTGAAAGTGCCGGGGATAAATTGTTCCGATGCAAAATATCTCGACAACAGAAAGAATTAGATATGTGATCGTATTATGTCGCATGTGGCCAACTGTTAGGCATTATACGAAATAATACGATCACATATCTAATTCTTTCTGTTGTCGAGATATTTTGCATCGGAACAATTTACCCCCGGCACTTTCAGCCCCGGTCTCCCCTACATATCTTACAGGTAGGTACATGAGGTGTTTTTTTTTATACCTAACTCTAAATCTACTTGTTTAATTTACCAACGAAATGAA